TCACCACGCGATTTTCCCTGGAAAACATATATGGTTTATAACCTTATGTACCTTACATACCTTACCGTACACTATAGTGATAAATGCTCATCTTATCATCATCACTGGTTCCTCGCTAACATAAAGCGTTTGCACAGATAAGTGCTCTATTCCATTATTATTCATAAAAACAACTATGTATACCATTATATACACCGTTCTTACGTAAATACATATATACAAAGTTAGTAATTGAAATTATATATCCAAAGAATATATTGATAAACATATTACTTGACCACCAATGCGATATACCTATCGCATATTAATTAACTGTCTTTAATGGTTATTTAAATTCGAATGCATTATAAATTACTTTATGCAAAATATTTTGGCATTCATTCTTCATATTTTATTGAGATTATTTATTAGTATTGTTATTAGTTGTGTCACCTCAATCGATAGAAAGATTCACTGTGATTTGCAAATTTTAATATCTATTCTACATTCAAACTTCAAACAAATTTTTATCAAGTACCTACCTACTGCTTACTCTTTAGATATACCTACTGAAGAAAAATACATCTCTCTCATTGTTATTTTTGTGGTGAGCATTTATCGCATTAAAATTACGGAGTACTCAGGAGGTATACCTCAGTACTCCGAAATTTTGCATTTACTGAGTTCTATGTACATAGAATTCAGTAAAGAAAACACGTAAAATATGCATTACGTGTATTCTATTTAAATCAACCAAGTGGACAATCAGCTTACTATATACTTATTTAAATTTGACGCATTTATACGTAATAAATAATTAAGAAAATCATGGGATCTTACCACGTTTTATTAGGTATTATTATGTTATCTGTGGTATTATTGAGTCCCTGATATTCTAGCAGTGTTACACAAGTTCTAATTTGTAGCTATTCTTGTGGTAAGGTGGATGAATATATCTACCCATAATTTTATTCATTTACCATCTACCCGCTGCTCCTCGGGGTTGCCGAAATATTGGTAACTCAATGATAATATAGAAATCGTGGCAAGATCCCGTGATTTTGTTATAAATCAACTTGTTATTTCAAGTCGTCTTATAAATATTGTCTCTTATACGTAATTAGCAGCTATGTTATAAAATTCTCATCCAAACGTAAATACTCGAGTCTTGTTGCATTGTAACTGGGTCTTAGTGTTTTCTCGGAATATTAGTGCTTTAAAGTTAACGCCAAGTAAAAAACCTTTTTAGTAACTCTAAGATGTTAAATATTGAACAATATTCCTTGATAGTCCGACCAAACTCAAAGAAAACTCTTATATCAATAATATAATTATATAACAAAAGCAACCATACGAATTAAAACCTTTTTCAGGAAGTCTAAATAAGGTTGTTGTCGTGCACAATTGAATCAAAGAATAACATTTAAAGATCTGGTAATGAAGCATTGTTCCCCAATCATGCTTTTTGTTGCGGCTTCGAACGGCTTTCACTGGGCTGATTACCGATATCCGGGAAGGACTGAATTGACTTTATTTAATAACAAAGGAAAAAAAAGGATAATTGTTTCGCATGATACGCTTGTAAAACAGACGAGATATGAATTACTTTAACTCAGTCGAAGGAATTAATTGCTGGACATCCGTTTTTTTGTGATAGCAAATCTTCAAATAAGCCTCGAGTAATGTATGCCGATGTAACAATTTTCTTTAACAGATTTAGCTGGTATACAGTTCGTAGGTATATTTTCAATACACATGCTTGCGTATTTTAAATATACTGAATACTGAATAAAATTATTCAATTAAAAAGCATATTTGAATAGAACTACCTCGAAAACGTACATCAATTGTTTTTCTGGGGATTAACGGTGTAATATGTAATAATTTAGATTGCAATTATTCTTAAACTTGCTACTTGCCCCGGCTTCGCACGTGTATACATGTATTAAAACCCTTCTTCTTGTATCATTCTATATTTAAAAAAAAAATTGTTTCAAAATCCATTGCGTAGTTTTAAAAATGTAAGCATACATAGGAACAGACAGCGACAGTGACTTTGTTTTATACTATGTACCTAATGATGATAATTTTAATAAATAATAAACACCTGTAATACATAATAAAAGAATAAAACAATATCATCTCTTGTTGCCAACGTGTAAAAACATCAGGATATCAAGAAGAATATGTAGGTAGGTAAGTATCTAATGGTAGTGATATTATTATTATTTGAGTATTTTTATTGAAAAATTAATCACCCGAGTAATATGACCGTCATGATTCTCTCAATTTCTTTGATGGTTTTATAAATACGGGTATACATTGTTTTCACTTAGTTAATGGATATGTCATTAATATTTGTGCTGATTTTGTTAATTTTTAATTAAATTTCAGTAAACATAATTTGCAATAAAATATTTAAGTCTAATATACAACTTTCTGTTTATAAAATTTCAAGAGACTGTTTATAGCAGTGAAATATTTTCTTATAATAATATTATGTTCGACTTGTCAGAATAGTAGTATTTCATTGTTATTTATGTTTGTAATAAAATTTAATTAATTAGGTATAATACTTTAAATTTCAAATTTTGATACTGAAATAAATTATAAGAAAGTGTTCTATGATTTTCCTCTTTTAGACGTAATAATAACTTTATAATATATTTTTTCCTTAATCTGGATTAATTGATATTGATAGTGTATTTTTGTAATAGAAATTATTTAAATGCTATGGCAAAAGACACCCATAGATTTCTTTATACACTTTTTAGAATTCAAACCCAGAATATTTTATAAATACAATATAAATAAACCAAATTGTTCTAAATGTTCAAGACAGTTCAAGTATACTTCTAAATAATGTTATTCCCTGAATTCGTTCGTCTTTTATCCACTTATTTTTTCTGAACTACAATTCTAGAATTTATATTAATTGGTATTCTAAAAAAAGTAATTTTTATATGGTTGTCATTGTCATTTAGAAGATTTTTCTGGAATATTCATGTATCTATATATGTAACTAGGGGAAAATGTAATACAGACACGTCCAATTTTCCCCATTTATTCAACATTTCATTAATGCTCCGCTCCTATTGATTTACAGCTTACTCCTATTGGCCTATAGGCTTCCTCGATAAAAGGAATATATAACACACTTTTATAAATCAAACGAGTAGTTCTTTCGATTAGCGCGATCACCATATCAAAACTTTTTATCTTCACAATATTAATATTGATTAAGGGTAAAAAACAGAAGTTTAACACAAAAACATTGACCTATTTTAAATACATCACTGATTTCTAAACGATAATTGTCGAAGGCTACATCTTACGGTGTCCACTATATACATATTTACAGGATGAAGTTTTAAATGTCACAATATCTGTACATAGCGCTTACGCCTTATTCGCATAATTATTTTTCGTTGTTATTTATTATGAAATAGAGAACGAATGAGGAATTTCCATTTCATCCCCTATTTTATTTTACCCTCTTAAGGGTAAAATTCATACAAACTTCGAATTTCATATTGATATCATCATAATGAAAACTTAAAAAATAAATTTCAAGCTTCTAGTTTTAAAAATAATTATACTTCCATAGAACGTTTCATCTCCCCTTTCAACCCCTTACAACAACCCTTTCTTCGTATTAAAAAGTAGCCATAGCCATGTCCATTCTCAGGATCTAGACTATTTGTATACCAAATTTTATTTAAATCGGTGCCGTAGTTTTGGCGTGAAAGCGAGACAGACAGACAGAGTTACTTTCGCATTTATAATATTATTAAGGATAAGGATTTTCACATAAACCAATGATTTAAGAAAGTATACCATACGCATCGTTACTTAGCATACTACTAGCTACGATTATCTACTTATAGCTATATTAACCATTAATTAGCAAGCGGTCAATACTTCATGCATCTGTATAGAGAGTTTGATTTGGTTTGTGTAGGTTTACAAGCGCTTGTAGCCTTTTAGATTCTATGTCGAGTTTTCGTCACAAGTCAAAGGGAATTTACCGAAAGCTTGTGTTAAAACATACGTGATGGTTTTAACATTCTGTAGTGATTTGAGGTTTGCAGCAAGTATAGGATTTTAGCGATTTACATCTCTTTCACGAATATGTTCATGTCTATTTTTCCTAGTCGCCTTTTGTGATGACGGATGCCGATTTATATTCTTACTGAGTGAACTTAATGTGATGAGAGCTAGCAATGTCAGATTGACCTCCACGCGGTTCCTCCTGACCATCACCAGAACCATCATGTTAAAATTCCTGGTGAATTTTCCACGATGAACTAACTAACCTTCCTTCATACTTATCTTATAATCCTCCACTGGTGCGTATATCCAGCGTATACCGTTAGCGCAGGCGACAGCACCATTCCCTTATCATCCCTTAAAAAACTGTGTTTCGGTTGAATAGTCGATCGAATACAATAAAATATATGTAGAATACAAGGCATGACATCTTAGCACGGAATGGCAAAGAATGAGTGATTTACATGATTATATGAAGTCCATGGTACTATAGATGTGTAAAGGCATCAATTAAAAAAAATTAAGTTGGCATTCTGTATATTTTTTAAATTGACTAATGCTAATAATGAATATCGTAGGTAACACGCACTTTTCAGTCGACAATTGTAACCCATGAAGGGCATTCTGGTTGCCATTGTACTAAATAATATATGAAAGACGTTATTCTTGACATAAATTTCCATCAGATGTGTGTACAATATGTGTACATTTTCAGTAAAGCAAAGTAACATATATACCTATATATCTAATGGTAAATTCTTTAGAACAAAAACAAAGCTGAATTGTCATATTTTTTAATTTTCGTAATATATTCTTATGTTTTTATTGCATTTTACAGTAAGTAAAATTATATTTATCTAAGCAATAAATAGTATACAGTGCTCAGGATTTCTACAATATGTATGACCTACATATACATCACAATTACAAATAGTCCAGAGTTCGTAGATACGAATTAATACAGATGTATTAATACCAAATAGATGATTACTTCAAATGTAACAAAAATATGTATTGGATATGTACTATTATGTCACTAAAATGGGTTAGGAACTCTTATTTCCTGAAACCGTGCTTTTGTATTTGTAAATCATAACACTTTGGTATTTTACAAATTCTTCAAAATTGAACTAAAGTCCGTAGAATTAATTAATATAAATTAGTGATTTTAAACAATTAATATTATATGTACAAATGAATGAAAATATTGTAATAAAGTAGCCATAATGGTACGGAAAATACCTGTAATATCGGATATTTTTGTCATATAAAATAAATAAATCAGTACTATTTTGTGCTTCATTAAATTTATTAGCCATTCATCTTCTTTGCATTAATTAACAACTTAACTAGCTACGTATTTACATTAATTTACAAACAAACTGGAGTATTAACTCTAGGATTAAAATTTACATAATTATTCGGAACATGGACATTCAATAGGAATGATAGTAATTATTATAATACTTTAAGCAAATAAATAAGTAAATTAATCTATATCAACGGTCATGTTTAGTGAGCTGCAGAGGCAAGTCGCTGACCGCGGGCCTCTGCCGTACAGCATTTGGGCTCACAGATCTCGACCTGTCATTATTTTTTTGCTTTTCACCTCCATCATCGCTTTCGTCGTGTACATTTATTTCTTCATCCGAATCCGAATGGGACTCATATCCCCGAGCTAACTGTATTGACTGCGCAGCAAGTAACGCTGCCGCTGCCGAGTGCGGTACTAAAGCTTTAAACGCGCTGTTCTCAAGAGCTGGATGAGTTTTAAACGCGCCACCATCGAATGTCTGCTGAGACAGTGCTTTCAGCGCATTACTGTCAAACTGTGCCTGCTGTGAGAGGGCCTTTAGTGTGTTCGTGTCTTGATGTGAAAGAGCCTTGAAAGCGCTATTTTCGCCGCCCATCTGAGGAGTGTGATAAGGGACGCGCGCTGGGGACAAAGAACGCGAACGGGAGCGGGAGGGAGAATGAGGGAGGCGGTGCGGGGGCGAGCCGCCACCGCGCTTCAGGAGATTCATGCGCTGGTGGCGTCTCCACTTGGCTCGTCTGTTGGAAAACCAAACCTGTCAGTAACGGTAAATAAACGTGATTAGTATTCTGTTCTCACTGCGTTAACAAATATTCATGAATGTAAATGGGTGTGAAAATGATAGTTCTGATTTGATTAAGTTGTCACTGGTTCTAAGACATGACATTAATAGAATAATATTAATTGGATGGGACTTATGAATATATAATACTAAAAATTTTATTGCTTCATTACCTGAACGCGCGCTTCCGATAACGAGGTTTTGGAGGCAAGCCGCTCTCGAGTGGACACACATGGGTAATGAGATTTTTCGAATTCTTTCTCTAATTCTTCGAGTTGGTCAGGACTAAAGGTAGTGCGATTCCGTCTAAACTTTGGTTGTTCTCCATCCAATGACCCAGAGTCATCGCCGTCGACATCTGTTTAGAAATAACAATTATAGTTTATTTGGATAAGATTCCTACATTTGAAACAACGAAAACTTTTCTTAGATTAATTTTGTTTAATTTTATAATTGTTTTAATTTAAAGCACATAATTACAATTAATTTATTAGTTCTAGATAACTCATATATTGAAATAAATCTTAATAATCTTTGGTAAGTAATTATATACCTACACATAGGCAAAATACTATAATAAAAAAAAATAAAACACGCTAAAGCCACACGTAACTTAAAGTTGTAACTAAATATCGAAGATAGACGTATTGGTATAACTAGAAATATTCAATTAAACTTACCGATTAAACCTCTACCGGCGGATAAGAATCCTTGCTGGACTGCATCAGGATGTGGGACTCCTGTTGTAGGTGCCGGAACTCCTGGAGGCAGTGGTAATGTCCCAGGTGGCCATACACCACCACCACCAGCCCAGGGAAACGCCCCATATGGAGGTGGAGCAGCATAGAGACCATAGCCAGCGGCCCTAGCAAACTCGGCTGCAGCTCGCTCAGCAGCACGGTTCCTTAGTATCCGGTTAATTGACGATACACTTGGCGCTGTTGCATTCGTGCATACACCTACAACAAATAGAAGATTTGCTCAGAAAAGAGTTAACAACATTTCAAAGATTAATGAGAAGTAAAATTGACTAGATAATTTATTTTTTGTTGATTTATGTTCATTTGCAAAACAAACAAAGTTAACATAAATAAATTTAACATAAACTGATACTTTTATTAGTATAAATTACATGCCATATTAATGGTAATGACTATTTTTCTAAATCAATAAAATCGTGAAATTTCAAATACTGATTATATTTTTTATCATTCCATCTTAGTGTATGTTGGTTCGCGTCATTTAATAGACGTTAAAACTTGTCAAGTCAGTATATAGTACATGATTATTTCAAAAGGCTGCTCTTAAAACATACCGCGTGAAGTTGCTTCGTAATAATCACTCATGCAGTAACTAATTACCAACAATGTAGCTGAAATGAGGCAGGCAGTCGCGATGTGCAAGCAATAGCGCGTTAAAACCGATGCGTCATTGGTCGCGTTTAAAAATCGCTCGCCATTATAACATTTAATGCGTGCAGTGGCATCGCGTGCCAACGCAGCCTTGGAGAGCCATCCCATGTAATTTTCAGGAAACACTCCGCATAAGTGCCATAATTTAATCATAGCCTGTCCGCGTGTAATTGTCGTAGAATTCGTTGCAGAGCTACTGAGTTAGCGCGCTGGACGCATCATAGTGTTATTTTAAATAACTCACTTTTGATTGCTCTGTCAATGTATGGCATTAATCTATTTCAGACTACCGACTCAATGTCTTGTGAAGAGTATAAGTATATAGTAAATCTCTACTTTAATGATAAATAAATATTTGAATAGCAAATCTCCTCAAACGTGAGATACAGTATCAAAAAACTAGTCACTAACATAATTATCATTATTTATTTATTTATATAGTCCGAAATTTCGTATGTTATATAGAAGCAAGACATTGAAATTTTGAAGAGTATTTTCTGCGAGCGCAATAATTGAAATTCTTATATACCTACTTCTATTATCATTTGGCATATATTACTATTTGAAAATTCAAGTAGTAATACGAAACATCGCATCGCCTTAAATAAATATTATATACTTACAGCAACCTAACAATGGCCAAATGCAATTAACCCCTACTTTACATAAAGTAGTTCTATTCCACTTAGCCATTAAAATTGAAACCTATCATTTAGTTAGATCGTTCCTACTGGACAATTATATCCAGGAACAATAATTCAATATAATTGCTTAATGAACGCTCTTTACGTGTAGCAAGTCAAAGCGACGTTTTCCTATACATGACTTGTTACGGTAAATTATGCCTTGTAGTATAAAAATACACCACCTTGTCAATTGTTTGTCATGTTAAAACAATGTATTTGAAAGATGAACAATAATATATGTAATAGATGGGTGCTTAAAACCAACGAGATTTATAAAGATAGATTTAATGCGGTCACCATTCGTAATGAAGCTCTATTGTGAGACCGACTGGTAAGCACTCAGAGTTGGCGCATCAAATAAAATGGACCTGTTATAATTTACTCAAAACACAAAGCCTTATACAGTATAATGGTAATGATCAGTTGCGCGGCTTCGTTCATTGTTAGCATGTCGAAAACACAAAAAGATGCCTTCCACACAATTTGTTTGATTCGTAATCGGCGCGTTGAGATGACGTCTCGGTGGTAACGCCTTCTGTACCAGACGCACCGTCAAAAGTTTGATGTGGCTGAGAATATGTCTAATGGTGACCAGTCATCACTTACCGGTGGATCTTTAATTATATTGGGCGCAATATAAAAAGAAAACAAACCGTTGAAAATCTGTTATCGTTTTGTGGGTGTTCAGCGACGCCTCGCCGATGGTTAATCTATTCTTTTGGAAGCAAAAAACCTGTGATCTTTAACTGAACAGTTAAATTAGTTTTTATTTAGGAGCAAAAATAATGAAAACGCTGTGTAAGACATTGAGAATGTTCTCGCCTCTTAGAGACTTTATATTCTATCCAGTTGAACGGTTATTAACGTCAGCAAAAAATCTGTTATCTATCAATTATGAATTGAGTGCTTGAAAACTTAACAGAAAGTTTTAAATATTATAATTCGTTAATATGCAGAACAGTTACTTATATAATAATGAGTCAAGGAAAGCATTCATGAATGTTGCAAACGTAGAAGTAATTACTTTTTAATTTCAACCATCATTTGATCAATGAGTAAAGCGTTCAATGGTTAAGTTCACTATTTGTTTAGAGAGAGATCATTATCCGTCAACTGGTTGCAGGTGGGAATGCGATATCTATAATTGTTCTTTTAATGATTTGGGATCGAACCCCGGTCCCTACATGCCTAGTCATGGTCATGCAATTTGTCTAAAGTCGTTTAATCATGATTAGTCACAATAGGCTCCGCTTCTATTAAATAGTAAAGAATTATTTCAATAGAAGCTTGTTACCTTTTAAAATCTAGATCGTTCTTAACAATCCTTTCAAAATATTTTCTTACTCCGTAGTCAGTTCTAAGAAAATATAGATATATATTATATGTTTTTACATAAGTTCATGACTGTTTAAGTAAGTATAAATAATCTATGAAATATTGATCATGAAGAAATAGAATAACTATGGGGTAAAAGCCGGATACTTGCCTCGGTGGGATACAAGCCCCGGTTTTTATAAAACTATGTTCTGATTATAAGTTGTTTTGGTGCTTTACTATAATAAGTAGTGACCGCCCCGTAGGCCTCAATGCCACATAAGCCATCGGAATAGCCGTATGTGTTTTGACAGAATGAGCCAAAATGTACCGCGGCGAAACTTTGACGAGAGTTATAATTATATTGGTAAGTAATTGCTATTGAATATTTTTATAACTGATCGTGGTTTCAGTCAACTTTTTGTTTCTTTGCATGCATTAGAGTTTAAATTACATTGTTTATTATGTTTTATTGCAAAATATTTTTTATTTATTTTGCAAATAAAAAGGGCAAGTATACGCATCAAAAAGGATAGTCGCCCTCCTTACTGTCGCGGATAGTTGCCCCTAGAATGATTGAAAATTTCTTAACATACAAAGGATTAATTTTTTATGCTGTTTTTTCGAAATTAACTCTAAATTCGAATTTGACTCTAACTTTTTATAACTAAAATAAATATGTACTTCACTGTTTTAAGTATATATTTATTCTAGATAAGCATAATCCCTTGCAAGTATAAGCAAAAACCAGGCGTAGTGCCACGCAACAATTTCGCCTTCGAAGAATTGAGACAAAAACAAAAGATCTCGATGAAATTTCTCGAATATACGGAATATCCTCTAGAACCTTAAGAAGACGCTATGAAAAGAGTAACCAAAATTTTTTTTTATTTAAAGGATGTGTATCTAGCAATAGAAATACAAAATTCTATCTACATACCTACTTTCTTATCTGAACTTATTGTATTTTTTATCTCTTCTAGGAAGATATCCTGTTCTTGGCTTTGAGAATTAAAAAAGACTGGTAGCTCGTATATTGAAGTTTGGAGACGCCAGTTTTCTTCTCTTCAATCTCAGTAAATTATAAATACTGTTAAATAAATAATAAAGATTACTCTAATTGATATAAATTTCTTTCTATCCAAAATAAAAATCATACCGAGGTTACTATCCCCGCTCGAGGCAAGTATCCTGCGAAGCATTTTTCACGCTAGGCTACTATCCGCCATAGTAGGCAACTATCCCTTTTCTTAGAGGTAAAATAAAACAGTATTTATTCAAAACCAGTGCTAAATATGTATACAGAAATAGGCTTTTATAGAAGATAAAAGACCTATGTTTTGAGATTCATACTAAATATTTTCCAGAAAGTTTATATTTTTAAAATATGAAGCTTTATCGAAAAGTGGGGCATCTATCCGGCTTTTACCCTAAGCGCAGATTTTATATTTAGCTTACTAATAGAACATATATGCGTTTTCTCCCATGAAATACAATAAAAAGCAAATTGGTATAAAAATCTTAATGTTTCTGCCCCGAAGTGTTGTTAAGTTGGTACCTGCCTAAAAGCGTGGCATGCCCAGAGATAAGACGCTCCGGCGCCGTCTGCTACAGAGTGTTTAATCGGGTTAATTTATCGATAATTGACGGAAAACCTTTTTGTTTGTATTGCCGGAAAGTAACAGTAATTGTCACGCCTTTGAAGATTTACGCTCGTTTCTAAATTGAGACATTAACAGTCGGATCTCGTGCCTAATGGTTTGAAATGAATTAGTTTGTTTGTTTTATTCATACCGGTTTTTCGATGGATTCGGATTGTCCCGTCCGGTGTGGATCGAGCGGACAACGAATAGCGACCAGATCGAGTCTCACTAATTAGTTTTAGTTGGTGATTACCGTGTGAGCTTTACCATTTTGTTGACATTGCTACGCTTGCGTAGCAATAATATGGATAGTACTTGTACTATACATATTATTAATTACACTGATTATATTATAAGTATAGTATTATATTATATTAAAGATACAACCACAGACAGAGGCTGTATTGATAATATACGGCTAAACTTTTACGAACAATTTTTTTACTTTACAAATATTGCCATACAATTATGACATGACTATACTTATAAGTATAACTAGAAATATACTAACAAATATTTATTCTTTTTTGTGAGTTTCTTTTTTTACTGTCTTACGTATTACATGTAAATACAACACTCTTTTGGAGATAGACCCAAATAGTTGCAACAGGTTTTCTGCTGATGCAATTATTCACGTGTCTTTTTTCTAATTGTTTATATATTAAAATCTAATCTCTTACCTTTATTACATTATACAACGATATGTAATATTTCCCATCGGCTAATGTCCATGTAATAAGGCATTTACTGACCTGCATCTTGCAGCGCTTTCTTAAAAATGTACCGGAACTGCAGTAACGCAGGCGTTCTAAAATCACGTACTCACTGAACGATTGGAACCAGTTAACGAGTGAGTGGCGTCACGTCGTCTAAATGAATTATTGTTGGCTTTATGGGGAACATA